ATAATATGCTATTTAAAGTTTAAATTATGTATGTATGTTCATCGGTTTTATGTGTCCCATACCATAAATTACTTAAATTTAAATAAAATAAGTCTGTATAGTTCCAAAATTAACAATAAATATAAAATAAAAATTACTATATATAATAGTATACTTGTATATAATAATATCTATAAAATATATTATATAACAATCAAACAACGGGTTACCGTTACCGTAGCTATAATGGTAAAATTAAAAATTAAAAAATACAACAAATACATGTAGTTATATCAATCTTTTTTCTTAAAAATTGCTTAAATTTTAGTATAATCACTATTTTTAGTTCCAACATTAACAATAAATATAAAACAATAATTGCACGTTTTGAAATACCTAGGAATTATATATATAACAATAATACAGGAGATTACTTCCTACCTATAATAATAAAATAATAAATTAAAAATACAACGAATAATAAGAATGCTCGATATATTAGTAGTACCTGTGATCGTGATCGCACTGTATATTTACAATGATAACCACATTTTATTTATAAAAGTTAATACACGTCTCACGTCTTTGTTATTTTCGAATAATTTTTTTCCCTGACGATTGACACGTCTTCTTAATATATTTAAATAATACCATCTGTAGACTATACTAATATAATTAGCTCTTACAATTGACTATAGCATTCTGATTCTATAAGTATAATGTTTTAATACAATCATAGTCCATAAACATGCTAGTAGTATTAAGTATTAATGATAACAGTTTTCCAAAAATGTACAATAATACGGCTGCATCCGAGTTGCGGTCAGAGACGATTTTTGAGATAGGCACATATAACAGTTGCGATCGTATACCTTTTACTTATCTGTAAAGTTTATATATAAAATAAATAAAATTGTATAGTCCAATAGTATAGTGTCATACATATAAATTTTGTATGAGGGGGGGGGGGGTCAGTTGCAAACAAATTATTATGGAAGGAAAACTCCTAAATCAAAGTAATTTCATATTTAAATAACAAACCATAATATATATAGAATGTGTCAAAATAATAATTTACAATAAATCCTTGCAATATGTTTTTGTTTACTTAGAATTTCCTTACATTAAGAACGCTATTTTATACAATTTTTAAAAGACCTTTGGGGGGGGGGGGGGGTCTGATACCCACATCACCCCCTTTTATACGTACGGAAAAAGGTTAGTAACAGTGTTAAACGTAAAGCAGAGGAACATTTGAGCGAACGTCCCACCAAAATTATTCATTCTGAGATGTCAAGTACAGTTCTCAGTATACTGGGATCAAATGGCGTTATATTGATCAGAAAAAATATACACACTGCAAGAATAAATATTCTCCCGAAGTTGCCGCGTGACTTTTCACAATTACATTTGGCGCTTCCTAACGTAATTAATGAAATACGAACTAAAAATAATAAAAATTGGATTTTTATAAACGATGTTCAGAACAATATAATATCTTTTACGAATCAGATAAACCTTAATTTTTTGAAACAATGTGATTCAATTTTTACTGACGGTACTTTTTCATGTTGCCATTTTCCTTTTAAAAAATTGTTTACAAAAACAATAGCAGCTCATACATACCTTTGTTTTTTCGTTATTGCCTAGTAAATTGCCTTGTAATGCATACTAGACTGTATTAGACCACCTCAAAGGCTGTTTGTCTGACTATATTCCAAATAAAGTCTTCAGTGATTTCGAACCAATACATTAAAAATATTGTAGACAGTCCTAAGTCTGGTTATAAAATGGAAAGGAAATTGTTGAAATTTTTTTGTAAATAAAATAGCATGGTATACGAGTATACCATATATACTAGATATATATTTTGAGTGACCGCAACTAAAATGTAACCTTTTTGTTGGGTGACCGCAGCTAGTATACATCGAAAAATACACCCACCCCATATTTTCGGGAATGCAGTACACCTCTTGTAATTACGGCCTTTGAGTATACATGTAAATATAATATAAATACAATTATAATAATAAATTCATAATCTAATGTACAATTTTATTTGTCAATTTTCAGATATTCCACATAATACGATTTATTGTTTAATACATTTTTTTTTTTACTTGGTCCCTTGAAAATCATCTTAAATTGTATAATTGTTGACATTTTAATTTCTATAAAATTATAAAATAAATATAAAAAAAATAACTATTACATTATAGTCGTATTTTTTTTTACAATGATGGTACATTTGTATAAATAACTGATACAACTTAAAAATAAAAGAAAAAAAAATATACTTAAACAATATAATATATTATATTTATGTACATATATTCTACAGAATATCACGATAAGCCATCATGTATATGTATTGAAACTATTATTAAACTTTAACTACTCGTATTTAGAACGAAATCACGTATTGCAAACACAAAAATATCCATGAATATTAAAAATATTTATCTATAAAAACGTAGGTTTTTGAATTTATGAAACGCAATTATTTATTCTTAATACTTTACTTAAAGCAAAGTCAAGAATGATAAGATATATTTTTATATCCCAAGTACTCTTTGGAGAATAGGTAGTTTTGAATGCTAGAAGCTATAACGATAACAGTTTTAAACAATAATAAAAAAAAATACCAGTCATCGTATTATAAGGTCCAGAAGAATCGTCATTTTAAAAGACGTTGATTAAAATCTAAAATACAGTTGTGTATAAAACTGTCATGGAAATTCGGTATTAACCCATTTTCTGTTCAACGTTTCGTTTTGAATAAGTATCACGTACTGTTAATAACATATACGTAAATATAATTTACAGTGAGAACATCTCAATGCGATCGCTATAATAGTAAATTGAATTCAATGTTTATTGAAACCATTTTAGTAATACGTAGACTCAATTGTATGTTTACCAAAGAAAACTTGTCACGATATTAAACAAGTCGAGAACACAGCAAATATCACAAGTATTTTTGTATGACGAATCTTGAATATTTCATCAAAAGACACGCTGGAAATAAGAAATTATGGTAAACGTGATGTAGTTCATACATTCGTAAGACATTTAAATTTTTAGATTATAAATACTACCTGACCGTATTTTAAAAGATTGCGAATATTTTATAATATTTATAATATTTCAAAATAATTTACAAATGTATACAAATACATACCACAGGAGAGCCCAGTCAAAAATTGATGGTTATACTTTAACTATAAAGTTTTCATATTTTATTATTTTTTTTTTTTACTTAATTTATCTATAATTAATAATGAAGCTCGACTTATAACGATATCGAGAGTTTAAATAATTTGAAACTTCCAAAATGTTGTGAATAATAATTTTAATATATGCAGCCATGTATATATAAAGCGATGCAATGGATTCTGGCATATCGGATGAGTAAACGAAATAACTTATTACTTATACGTTTTAAGACAGTTATTATAAATTTCAATAATCAGTCTTCAAATATAAATATATTATAGTAATAAACTGTTTTTCAGACATGATATTGATTGATTAAACTCGCAATCATTTAAGTGAACTACTTTACGGCCTCAAGTTCATCGACATTCAGCAACTTTAGTAAGTATACTTATATATTGTAACTCGAAACCACATAAAATCGATTATGATGTTTTAATTAACGAAAATATATATTCGGTTCGTTTGAATAATGTCCGTCAAAAGTTGTATAATACTGTGTATAATAGCCATTTATGGAACTTTTAGATAACGGAGTAGTTTGGTCGCTAGATCTGTACATCATTTCAGTTTTAGGCATGTTGAGTAGGATTTACTGGAGGACCGATCGGACGTCGTTAAGTGATTAATGAACCAATATGGTGTCGAAATCTTTCAAACGAAGCATTGTTTCATTTTCAGTAAGAGTATTCGAGTATTTGCCAAACGTGTTGCGTATAAAACTTTTGGAGGACTTGGGAGGGAAACATTTCTATTTTATTAGGGTGCGATACTTTTGCCGATCCTAAAGTTATGTAAGTGTTAGAGCAATGTCTATCCGGTCGACATTCTGATCGACGTAAAATATAAATCAGCTAGCTACAGTGCGTGGAATTTTTTCTAGTCCGTCAACCGTAAAAACTGGCTTACGCTTATTCAAACGTGAAAATATTTTTGAAAATATGTTTCACGTAATTTAAGTCGATTACGAAGCGAATTTTAATTATAGTAATTATAACGCTGTACTGTGTACTACAGTTTTGATGGATTTAAAAAACAAACGTGGTGTCTGTAATCGTAGTTGGACATGACGGACGGCTATGGTTTGTTAATTAACACTTAATAACGTCTGATTAAACTAACCCTCAACATACTACACGCACTGAAGTATATAAAATCCGTACACACATCATTCACACTCGTATGGACTGATTTCCAATAGGAGTTTTATAATAAACACTTGGCTAGCCGGTTCGGTCGTCACGCGGATGTTGTGCGTACGCGTAAATTAAATTATCTATTTTCGTAGTAAAAATATTGATTTGATAAAATAAAATTAAAGAACCCATAACATTTGATACGCTCGTCATCCGCGATCTATGGACGTACGTTAAAATGTAGTCAATCACTAATTTTTATTCGTTCCTTTCCCCCCCCCCCTTCAATCCACAGTTCTTTGCACGGACATACCTAATAACTCATACAAAATAATAAAAATAACCAACTCTCATAATCATGAAGAGTATTATAATCAACGATAATAAGCAAACGAGTTCTGACACTAGGGATTTTCGTCACAGGTAGCCAAAATATATGTGTGTAATCGAGTAGTGCATTTTTGCGCAAACGAGTTGTAGCCAATGTTACATATTCTTATCATTATAAATTTTAATACAAATAGATGATTCCACTTACATGTTGTTGCTAATTTTTGACTGAACAACTCTTTCCGTGATCTCCTATAATAAAGAATAAACTAATTTAATTTTTCATAAATAAATAAATATATATATATATTTTACTTGTAGGTAAAAAACGTACCTTTCGTTTCAAGTATTTCTTTTTCTTTTTCAAAAATATTGGCCCAGCAAGTTTTCATGTAACATCTAACTAAAAACATATTTAAAACCATAAAAAGCAACATCGTTTTACCTTTTTTGCTTACAACAAATTCCATTTTAAGAACAGTATTAAGTGTTGTTAGTTTGGTGACAAACAGAACAGATACTGAATCGAAATATAAAAATTTAACATTTGTCAGATAATTATTGCGTGCGAATTATCAATAAACTATGTATAATACAACGTATGCTTCCTTCCGTTAACGAAGATTATCGGTGTACACGTTACAAATGGCGTTTTAACCACTGCAAATGTTCAATATGGCTTAAACATTAAAACCAATGGTTTCCAAAATTATTTTGGCGGAAACAGGTAACTAACTTCCCTACGCACAACCGTTGTCATCGCGCTAAACCCGTAAACATTGTGGGGCACGTGCGTGTCGAAACTTATCCCGTGATTCCCATCGATTATCGGCTGGCCTCCATCGGGCAGTGGTCTTCGAACCGGGCGAGCAGAGCGACCAGTGTCCGGGCGCATAGCGATATTTGAAAAAAAAAAAAAAAAAAACTAACAATAATCAAACGAGCGGTTGGAAGGTTTCGAGACCGCGGGACTACTACTGCGTCTGCTGGTCCCGTCTTCCGTCGTCGTGTCACGATTTTAGCCGGATGTCTCGTCACCGGCCGTCCGTCTCCGACCAACAGCTGTTATGGACGCGACCGCGGCCACCGGTGTTCGGCGACCGCACGCTCTGGTTCCGGTGCGCAATGACCGCCGTGGCGATCGGCTACACGGCCGGTTACTACGCGTCCACCGGCGGGCCGCAGTGGGTGCCGGACACGGACTACCTACACTGGTCCACCGACGTTCCGGCCGTGACCGTGTGCCCGGCGGCTCGTCCGCGTTCGCACAGGTTTGTCGCGCGCGCGCCACTTCTTTTTCGCCCTGGAACACGTTTTCGACCGCGCGATCGTTTCTCGCCCCCGTAGGTTCACGTTTTTTTTTTTGGTTTTTCGTTTTAACCCGATGTCGTCAACGCGATAACGAAATGTCGATTCGATGCGTAAGCAAATGGTAACGACCGGAACACATCTTCGAAACCGATTTTTACCATTCGTTCGTCAGATCAAATAAATTAACGTCCTCTTTCTCTACGCCTACATACGTCGAACATAAACAACGCGTGTTATTGTAAATCGCAAAACGTTTCGAATCGACCGTAAATATATGGTTTCCAGTTAAATGTTTTCGTCCTAGGGGACGAGACAAAGGAATTCTCCACGCTTCACTCTTGCTACAGCACAAAGCGAATCGTAGTCAACGCAGTTTCGGTCCACGCCCGTTAGTCCGTGTCGGTGCATTTGATCTGTGTCCCGAACACCGGTGGTTAATCAAATATGAATTTGAGTTGGGTCCCAAGTTCAAATTCTTTTGTAATCCCTAAAAAATGGGTTTCCAAGTTAAAAATCATAATTTTGTTTTCATTTTTTTTTTTTTTTATTCAAGTACAAGCTTAGGTATATATTACAAATACAAATATATAAAATAATATATTTAATACATTTTTAATTTGGCATAGACTTTATTACAGAACCATTTTATATTTATTACAATAATTCATTAATGTTTTCAAATATACGTATAAATAAAAATAACAGCAATATAAAACACACTCATGATCAAAGTTTCTAACCGATATTTAATTATATTTTTGTATTAATATATTGATTATTTATTTTTTTTTTAATTGGTTAACATCATAATTGTTTTTTAAATAAAAATAATGAGAATCATAAAATAAAATAAATAATATAGATGGACAAATTTCCAGAAGGTTATCAAGTAGTTTATACAATTTATTTAATTTAAAATAATGCAGTCAACACCTTTTTTCATTATTATTCCTATATTTTTAAAAAGTAAATATTTTTTCATTCTAAACACATTTTTAGTATAAATATATTACTATGATAAATGAAGATATTTTTGAACAACTAAACTGAACAAAAAACTAGAACTCAAATAAAATAATTTGTATTAAAAATCAAATGTTCTACTATCACAGAATATTGATAACATTAATGACATAATATTAATAATCGGTATACTACAATAGACGCCGCTTATAAGACTCACGGATTAAGGTTCAGTCGCTTATTAGACTCAAAATAATTTAGAATGATCTGGACATATCCAAATACATTAAAAAAAAAAATCGGTTATAAGACTCAAATTTCGTAAAATAAATAGTAGAAAATAAAGTTTTTTGGTTATAATTAAGAAATAAATTGTTATTGCAAAATTAAATAATATTCGTGTTGATTATTTCTAGTTTCTGTTAGTACTTTATAAATAAAGACCGGATATAATTGCATTAAAAACATCTTAAAATTGCACTAAAATGATGCCAAAGTTACAATGAAAATTTATCAAAATTGCAATGAAATACATTAAAATTACATAGTAAAATCATATCAAATATATAATCATTAATTACTTACTTAAATAATATTATAGTTATAGTTATATTTTTTATGTAAAATCACTTTGGAAACAGTAATTTGTATATTTTATCACGTGAAGTATACAAAAATTACAATAATTGTGAAAAATTGTAAAATCGTTGAAAATTGCAAAAAATTGCATTATTAAATTAAATAGGATTACTGTAATTAATTTGATTCGTATACATATTTGATCAGATTTGATTTACTGGGTATCAATTAAAGTTGTAATATCAATTAAATCTGCTCTTTACTCAATTAAAATTAATAATATTTAATGAGTTTGACTGTAAATATAAGTATATATATTTATAATATACATTCTAGTATACCTATTGCGAAAATTCACAATATATAATTTATTTAGATGATAAAAAGTATAGGTGCAATCGAATCAATGCATAAATACATTTTAACAATCAATAAAAGACTATAATATCGAAAATTGAAAGATATCGGAACGACAGTGAGTGTTTATTAAAATATATGTTCTGCAGCATTAGGATAGACTATGTATGAGAGGGTGTAATTATTACATAAAATCATTTTACAGTGCTTCTTTCCAGACAATATTATAAGTAATTATATTATTATTGTTTATGAGTTGTTTGTTGTTATATCACTGGGTAAGAGCTAATGAGAAAGCGATATTTGAAAAAAATTAAAAGTAAAGTTGATTGTACACACATACATTTCCTCAAACTCAACGAATTTAAGCATTTAATATCTCAAAAGAAAGAGCTGAGTGTTCTGAGAGTGAAACGATCAAGTTCTATTCATTATAAGAGCAGCTATGAAATTTCAAATGTTGCTTGAGTGAATGTTTTCCAAAAGAAATGTACAGGGAAGAATCACGTTGGTGGGAGTTGAGTACATTTCAATGATTAATGATATATGTGTCTAAATACCTTCCATTAAAAAAAAAAAAAAATGTAGGAAATCGTCTGGTTAGAACGGCCAGATGGACTAATTTAATTTTCATACATTTTTTTTAATAAATAAGATAAGTAAATATACTATAATCACGCTCTAATTTTGTTTACAATACTTACTACACTTATTGTATAAATACATTAAGTTTATCACCGCTTAAGTAGTTATCACGAATAATATGTATTTATATCATTGCAATATTATGTACTTATAATATACAGTCATGTGTAGAATGTTTGATTTTTTTCAAAGCTTAAAAATGTAATAAATCAAGTCATCCAGTATAACTGCAAGGAATTTAAATCATTCATTCAAACAAATTTGTAAGCATGTAAATTATTTAATCTTATTCCAAATCTGTACGAATGTATTCTCTGTTCTAAATTTTCTTAATTTGCTATATAAGTTGAATATTTATAGGTCTGTAACGTACTGCATAACCGGTGGCATGCTACAGGTCAAACGAATTGAACAATTTAAATTCATTTAAATTGTTTAACGATTTGTATAACACACGTGTATACTGAATAGTTATGCATTTGATTTATGTTATCCGATTTAATTTTGCAAAGTGCATTCTGATATAAATAATATACTCATATTTGTATAAATCAAAATTTGATTTTGGTAATAAAATATTAACCACGTTTATATAAGCTGTTTTAATTTAGAACGAATAAGACAACTAAAATTATTCAAAATTTGTCAGTACAATCGTAGCTTGATATTTCAATAAAGCATATCGGTTGTTACTTATCTTATCATTCAATAGTATGTCAAATGCATTTGGTGTTAAATAATGCATACTAGTGTAGTAATTTGTTAATCTAATAATGAATATACTTTTTTAATAAACTTATATTATGTACTAGTTAAACAGAGAAAATGTTATAAATAAAATAAACTTTGTATATTTGAAAATGTTGAATTTAAATACACTTGAATACATTTGACTAACCTGGAAATGTATATTTATTCAGAAATATTTATAGAAATGAAAAATAATTAAAACTATTATTTATTGCTTCTCTAATGTAATGCAAATCATGAACCATTGTTCAAAATACATAATATTATTAATCTCGGTCATTATATTAAAGTAAAAACCACGCGTGTGTTGAAGAAATAATAATAATAAAAAAAAAAAATTCAACAAGTTTTGAGAAAATAATATATATTATTTATTTTCAAACGGTCAATGCTATTATTATATTTCTTGTTTAAAATCTTATAATCGAATTACTAAACTATGTATATTTATATTGATCTGATATACTGTCTTTAGGAAATCCATGCAATGAGCAATTCACGTTCTGATATATGATACATGATGTACATAAATACATATACGATATATTTATTGTTTATCTTTATATTTTTATGCTCACGTGAAAATTTTTTGAAACTATATGTTCCATTCATTTTGTCGGCAGTAAATGCATAAAATGTTTGACAACATTTGTGTGATTATGATATTCCTGGAAACTCTTTGTATTAAAGTGTTTCTCATCAGTTAAACAACACACATCACTTTTTTTCACTTTTACGACACGTACGTACTTATCGATTTATCAATGCATGAGATTCCAAAGGAAATAAATAAAATATATAAAATCATCATTTTTTCAATAATTTTGAACGGTTGAATTTCCTTTTGCAATCAAAAATGCTAAATAACATCACGGTTCCGTACGGGTATAAATATTAATTTTTATTTTTCAATACGGTGTCATGATCGATGTATAATATGCATATGCATATTTTTCGTACATTAACATACATGTATTATGTATTTTAGTTTCAATGTAAATACCTCAAGATAATAAAATGCGTAATATATTTATAAAACATATAGCTGTATACGCCGCGCGTTGAGAGAAATCCAGCGGGTATAGAAAATAAATGATACATTTGATTAAAAAACAAATTACTTTTTCACACTCCGTAATTATTAAAATATTATTTCAATAATATTATTCTTGTAATTTATTAAACGCTATTGTATTCCGTAATATTGACACTCGATAAATTAAATCAGTTATAAATGATTTCTATGCATTTACAACGATTTTCCACAGCGTTAATTTTTTTTCACCCCTATAAAGTAAGATTTATTACATAATATTTTCAACAATGAAAACAACAATTAATTAAAATTTACGAAACAGAAAATAATAAACAACTTTTGAGTTTCAAGTAAAATATTACAGCCACACGGTTATCACTATGTGTATCCATACAATTCAAAAACAACTCACCGACTTACTAATCAGCGTAAAACCAAAACCACCATACCGATTTATTTGAAATGTTGAAAGAATTTATTTATTCATTGGAATATGCGTGTTAAGAATTGATTATTCAAATATCGTTCAGTTTTGGGCCCAGGTTGGATGTACGTATTTTATCAGTTTTGGTTACTTAAAACAATGATTTTCTTGTGTAATATGTTGGTTTTAATGATTACCGTTAGGAGTATATGTAAAATAAAATATTATAAATAAATAAATATGAGTAGCACTAGATATGACGATTACAACGATCGCACACTATTTTTAAGCCTTATTTTTTTATTTTTTTTTATATCAAAATTATTAATTGTGTTAATTTAAAATGATAAGATATTTCCTGGGTAAGGACGGGTGATTCAGCTAGTTGTATATAATTCTATTTTTATATAAATTTATATGATTAAAATATTATGCTTTCAATATATTCATAATAAAGGATGTTTTTTTCTTATTCTGTGATTTAAGGTTTTGAGTGAGAAAACTGCATCGATGATTGAACATAATGTCAAGTCATTCTTGTTTTTATCAATAGTTTTTCTTATATTTAAAAAAAAAAAATAGGAAATAAAGTTAAATGCCATTTGGTGATTGGTTATATTTCCTTTGATATAATAAGTTTATATATTTTTCGGCTTCAAAAATTAATGCAAGGATAATGTCTACTTTACTTAATATTGAAAAATTAGAAGATTTACTAGATTTAACTCGGTAAATATGTTTTCAAATATTTTAAAGACTTAAAAAAGTAATACTTATTATCATTCCAAATACTAACAAATATTTTTCTTTTTTAATCTTTTAAGTGTAATATTTTTTGTTGAAATATTTCCAGATAAAATAGATAATTGGTTTCGGACCTTGTTTTGGTTATTTGAATACAATTATAACATTTTTTGTTTTTCGTGATGTATTTTCATAACAATGATATAAATAGATATGCCTTGAAATTATTTTTTGAATAAGAATTATTGTCACTGTATTCAAGTGTATATAAAAATACAATCCAGACAACAAATAACAAACACCTGAGTTTTACTGATTTTCCATTTTATTTTACTTCTTTGTACAATTAAATAACATACAAATAATCATACATAACTTATACAAAAATACTGATATTATTTAAAACATTCATCAAAATAATCACAAATAAACCTTTTTAGAGAATCTTTTTAATTATTTCGTGTTGTGTGCGAAATAAAACATGGAAGTTCAAATTCAAATATTCATGTTACCATATATTAAATTATATTATTTCGATGCAAACACTTAAAAAAAAACGAATGTGTGATAATTTTAAATTATGAATGTTTTATAAACGTTAAAAGTTAAGAGTACGACAGCATTATCATCAATATTTACGATTAATTAGTTGTTTTTGTTTTTTCATATGTAGAATATTCAATACTACCAATATATAAAATAAAATAATATCGACTGATGTAACTTTTGAAAATGTGATGATTTATATTCACGTTCAAGTGAAAAAAATAATTAACATTACTATTGATTAAATTCTCTAAAACGACCAAAGAACATGCATTTTTTTTCAATTACCCTCTCTCCCACGGTAAGGGGTCATGTGTTCGAAAATCATGTGTTCGAATGCCGAATGTACGAACTTCAAGTGACCGAAAAATTGTCTGTTCGAAAGACTGTGTGTACGAAAGGTCGTATGTTCGAAATTATTGATAAACGAAACAAAACGAAAATAACATTATAATTGCGTTTTCATAATATTGGATTTCACACAATTTAATCTTTACTGATAAAGTATTACAGATATTCTCGACGGTTTTTTTTTGTCTGTTATCTGTCAGTACGGCTTGATACATCATTACAAAAGTGTCAAACACAATTTCGTTTAAATTTTGTTTTCAAATAATATTTTATAAATTTGTCTAAGTGATTTTTCTTTTTTAAATGGCAAGTTTAAAGACGTTTAAAAGTATACACGGCAAGGAAATGTTACTTGTAAATAATTATGAATTCATGCTTGATAAGATACGACTGCGAATACGTGATTAAAATAATATATATTATTGGAAATGTACAAAACGATGTGGAGCAACATTTCGGACAATATTTGACCACGGTAAACATAAACAAGACGATTGTTCTATTTTTAATGATCATTACCACGCACCAGATACAGTTAAAATTCAATGCAAAATTTTAAAAAATAAAATTAAAAAATGTGCTCAAGCTTCACAAGACGCACCAAATCAAATATATCTGAATGAAATTGCAAATTGCAATGTCATAATTTCATCTCAAGAAACTAAAAACGCATCTAAGCAAATCGTAAAAAGGCAGAGAAAAGAAAAAGAACTAGAACCAGTTTCACTAAATTTTATACCTCCCTCGGAACTTCAAAATACAATTTCAGGACAACCTTTCTTTTTGAAAAATGTAATCGAAGGAAATAATAAATTTATGATTTTCACAACAGTTCAGAATTTTATATACTTGAGAGAATCACATTTTTGACTCGCTAATGGAACATTCAAGGCTTGTCCTGGAATTTTTAAACAGATATTTACAATACATGGGTCAATTTCACGAGGTATCAATAACAACATTTGTGTACCATTGCTATACGTGTTGATGACCAACCAAACTGAAGATGATTATAAAACAGTGCTAAATGTGTTTAATAATTTTGCGATTGAAAATAATATTAATTTCGAAAACAATAATGAACTTGAAATAATAACGGACTTTGAAAAAGCTTCAATCAACGCGATCAATGATGTCTTTCCATTTGTAACGCATTCTGTTTGTTTTTTTCATTTTTGTCAAAATATCTGGCGTCATATTTAAAAAGAAGGGCTATCTACAAAGTACATGGAAGACCCGGAATTTAATTTGATCTGTCGGTATTTGCCTGCTTATTCTTTTCTCCCAGTAAACAAAGTACGTATTAAAAAAAAATACATAACACTTACCTTTTTTTATTTTATTACTATCTAATATTTCAGAGTCATGTAATCTTATTGCAACTTTTAAAATATACTGTTATATTTTTTTTAGGTAATCGAAGGTTGGGAAATTGTGAAATTATTATTTAGTGACAACGAAAGAGTACAAGCACTTTTAGAATATTTCGAAAATACTTACATTTATGGTAAACCAGCTATGAGACTACGCGGACGTATAAAACCTCAACAACACCCTCCCTTATTTCCAATTGACATGTGATCAGTAGCTTCAAGAGTTGATTAAAATGTGCCAAGAACAACAAATATTGCTGAATCATGGCACAGTCGACTTAATAGGTAGGAACAATGTATCAATAGTCATAACATAATTTGTTGCAAAATGAACGTTATAACGTGGTTATAATATAAAAAAAATGTTTATAGATTAGTATCCAAACAACCAGGAGTTTACAAATTAATGAGATAATTCCGAAAAATTCAGAATGAAACTGAAAACTCTATAGAACAAATAATTCAAGGCAGAACAAGTAAGAAAAGAAAAACATGCAATGAAGAACGGGAACAACGAATTAAAAATTTAGTTTTAAGACTAAAAAATTCAGAAATAAATATCATTGAGTTTTTACGAGGAATATCATACAATTTAAGTTTTTAGTTTTTTTTTTTTATTTAACATTTACATTTATTGACTTATTTATCTTACGAAATTTTATATTTTTAAATTAAATTTTTTTCACAGACAATCGAATCAACGAATAATAAATATTATGGTAAAATTGATGTTGTTTTCGTTTATCGATAATTTCGAACATACGACCTTTTGTACACAAAGTCTTTCGAATAGACAATCATTCGTACACTTGAAGTTCGGACATATGGCATTCGAACACATGATTTTCGAACATATGACACGCTACCCTCTCCCACACTTATGAGACTTTTTCTTTGTTTTTTTTTTTTTTAATTTTTAAAAACTGTGCCAAAATACTAATTATAATTTTATTGAAAAATAATATGCCATTATTTATATATTGTACAATAAATATTTTTATGTATCATGTTTTCATAAAAACGATTTATGTTGGTAGAAAAGTATTGCCTGATAGACTTACTTTCATTCAAGCGATTTAAAATTCAAAGTAAAAATATTATCAAAGAAATAATTAAAAAAAAAAATTGCCAAAAACATTGGCATTTAATTCATGATATTATATACTGAGTAAAAGAAAATATAAATTATAAAAATATAATACATACATATATATATATATATATAAACAAAATTACATGAAAATACATACATTTAAAGTATTAACACCATAAAACTAACCAAAAAAAGGATAATTTAAAACAAAAAACCAATTTCTTAGAACATAATTGGAAACACTGTTTCCCAAGACAAACTGAAAAAAAATCTCTACAATTAAACGCAATAAATCATTATGAGCATAATTTATCTTGTTTTTTAAAAAGCAATATTATCAAAATACACAGACGGTTAAGAAACACTAGAGTATATATGTATATAAATATAACATTTTTATTTTTTTTTGAAAATATACGTTTATATGTATATTTATACGTATATGATTCTTTAAATTATATTTGCATAAACATTATATTGTAATTAATTATGTGCTAATAATATAGTTAATGAAAAATAAAATTATAAAATGCATAAATTTAAATAAACGAAAAAGTCTAAAAATATTATATTTTTGTTTATCTCCTTCAAGTTATATGATTATGTTTTTTTTTTTTTTTTGTATAATTACAGCAATTCGAAAAGAATACAATATTAACGTACTTTTGGCATAAAATATACATTACAAAAACATCAACAAATTTGTAAAATGTCATTATTACTTACTGTAACCATATAATGGTTTTATACCTGTATATTAAAAATTCAGTTTTCCGATAAAAATATATTACAAAACATATTTACTTTAAATTTTATGTTGAAAAGTTTGAAGTATATTTTTTTTTTACCTTATTATCTTACGCTCCTTTACTGACCTACTGTAATTATTATTTTTTAAGTTTAATGTAAACTTAAATTTTCAAAAAGTTCTAAAAGTAAATAAAATCACTGTGGATGCCATGGCAAATTCAATTTCAACATCAAAGTAGAACTTGAGACGTGCATTTCAGTCATTAAGTAGATTTTCTGCAATCAATATTATTTTTTATTAACAAAAACATTTATCTTGTTAACAAAAATAACAATAATTTTTTTTCTAAAAAAATATGAACACATAAATTTATAAATAAATTTAAGCGTTTGTTTGTTTCACATAATATTATACTTGGGCAACACTTGGGCATATTTCACAGCCGAGTCAAAATAACTGTTGAAGTATGATAACTTTTTTTTTATTAAATATTATAACATGAAATATTTTTAGTTTCTTATCAAATAGCAAACCGTTCTATACTTTTTTCGTTCTTGTATTTACCATATATCATGAGTACATACCTTAAATTAAGTGCCTTAAAAGAAAAACAATTGATTAGATTGATAAATAAAATATTAAATAATATATTATGCAGTTTACATTTAAAAAGTACTGTTGGTAAAAGCTGTTGGTAATATAATATTAACAATGTCTTATATAACAATACCGTAGTATATACTAGGTAGGCAGTATTTTAATTAAACAACACACTACGCTATCGAAATTAAATGTTTTAATATAATATTATCCGAATCTAAGAAAAGACGTGTTTTATACATTTATCTTTCGATATTAAGAATATATATATATGTACAATGTACATATATACCACAGAGTTCATTGAAGCAAGTCGGAAGTACGAGATTATACCCAGATCAAAATTCAACGTTCAATTTTTGCAGTTATCCAAATTTTTACACATGAATTTTTTTTATTGCAACAATACATAATAAAGATGAATATTTGTATTATTATCAATCATTTTATTGATTGAAAAAGTAATAATGTCAAATAATGTTTTTGTAAATTATTTTATATGATTACCATATTTCGTTTACTTGATAATATTTAGGAATTGAATGCACAATTTTATATATTATTTCCATGGAAAATAAAAATTATAATATTACAAAATATTTATCACGCAACAACATAGAAGTAATAAATAATATACAGTGAAACCTCAGAATAGCGGACACTCTTGGTTAGGTGCCGGAGGTGTCCGTTATTCAGAGGGGATACTTTTGAAATTTATTTATATAATAATGTAGGATGTATAATGTTATTACTTATTATTTATTGTAAATTATTACATTTTTATATTTTTACAACTTATTATTAATTTTTTATTATTTAAAATATATTTTTACAATTAAAATCAAAATGATGTATATACATGTATTTTTAATTTATTTTTGTTTGAAAAAATCGGTGAGCTTTGTTTGTTTATAACTACACCGTTTCTGTGCAATCTCATTAGTAATATCATTCACTAATATAATAGCAGAAGTAAAAAATAGAACTGCTCTTTTCCTCGAAATAAAAATGACTTATGCTCTTTACAGCAGACAAAGCATCCTAAGAGTCGTAATCTTATCGTCCCATAAAGAGTTTTTTATCGTTATTACATTATTACGAGAATATATACAAATTTGAATAAGTATTATTTTTAAATAAAAATTAAATAATGTCCGTTATTTGGAGAGTCCGCTATTCGGAGGTTTTCCCATTGAAAATAAGTGAAAATGTCCCCGTTCCCCAAAAAAACATCCGCTATTGGTAAGTGTCCGCTATTGGGAGGTGTCCGTTAGTGGAGGTGTCACTGTATATTAAATTTTATAACAATAGAATAGGAAATATGAAGTCATTTCTCCCTGATCTTGTCAGACGTAAATTAACCTAACCTAACCAATTCTTAAAAATACATTTAAAGGATTATCAAACGTACATATTCTTATACTCATAAACGTAAATGTTATTCAGTACCCAAAACTCCTTGTCCCGGTTTATATTGATATTTTGAAACTTTACCATTAATACCTGTTGTACAAAATATATAGTACTGAATACACTGGATTATAAAACAAATATTCTAAAAATTTAAATTTTGAATTATGTGTAATCATCAACTCTGAGAATATTTTTAAATTGAATTACTATATTTTACACTTGAATACATATATATTATAATATTATATTAGTTTTTAGTTTCAAAAGAGTTTCACATTCTAAATTACTGAATTTGATGAAATGTATAAATAATTAGAGTGAATACAGAAAAACGGCTATATAATTATTTTTTTGCCTTACAGTAATAAAACATTTTCTCCTCAATGGCTTATGGTTCTTATTGTTGTTGTTTTTGATATTTTATCAATAATACTTTAATTGTATATTTTACTACTAGCTAGTTTTGTTTTACAACCGTCAAATTACAAAAATTCTAAACTACATGTAAAAATTAATTTAGATGAATGTATTATAAATGTAATAAAAATGTCAGTATAATTGAACAAAAATATTTAAAATTCAAGTAAATTTTACTTGATGTATTTAAAATATTTCAATAAAAGTCTCCACAAAATATTTTTTTTTCATATTAAAGGATAAAATACAATAAGATAAATAGAATCTGTACTTGTATGAGTACAATAAGTTTATTTGATTATTTACAGGAGTAAAATTAATAATACAATTACATTATAAAAGTCACTCTTTACTAATATCTCTGAAATAAGTATATATATTTTTTTATTTATAATTAACATTTTATTTATTTTTTTTTTTATCTTAAGTCGTCTATTGCTTAACTTATTTTAAGCCTCTGAAACAGATTTCCTTCAAAGGTTAAGAAGGATATTTTGGAGATAAGAGGATTTTTATGTTTTTTAGTTTGTTTTGAATCTTGTAATATTTTTGGGACAGAATTTGGAGTAAAGGACTCTTAGGTTATTGCGTAGTTTTAGGTTTGAAATATACCGTGAACATCCGGTAATTAGTCGTAGACTAATTTTCTGAAAAGCTTCCAATGGGCAAATGTTGGCTTGACCCTAAATTTAAATACCATATGACCAAATAGAGGCTATTATGGTTTTGTATATAAGTATTTTATTTTAAACATTAAGATTGGATTTTAAATTCATGAAAAGAAAATTATGGTATAAGTTAAATCGTTTCCTTTTATTTTTGATCTGATCTTTCCATGTTAGTATTATATCAATAGTTACTTTATAATACTTTATTTTATTTGATTTTAACTAGGAACTATTGTTTAGAATTAAATAAATAAATAATTTTCTCTTTAGTTTGAAATTTATTTGAATTTATTTTATTTTGTTTAATTAAAATTTCCATTTTTTAATCTACGAGGAGATTAAATTACATTCAGCTTTTTTTTTCTTTTTTTTTATGCATTTTTAATACAACTCGGCAGCAAAAGCCAAGGCAATATTGGATAAAGAGTATATTTGTTAGGAACAAGAATTGTTATATCATTACCATATGTCGTTCAATTGGCATAATAATATATCTTTTGTATGATTAGCAAAAAGAGCATTTTTTTTTTTTATCAGAAATTGTTAGTGAATTAATTGAATAATGAAGTGGCCGAGTGATTTCACTTTTTTAAAAAATAATTTTTAGTTACTTGTCATAATGGATAATTTTTGGGGCAATTTGTTGCCATATATTTATAACACTATTGTAATTTCTACATAAAAAGTTTATTTTTAAGTTGATTTATCAAATTATTAAATATTTTTTAATCCAGTTGGTAAGGGTTTTCTGTTGGTTGCCATATTCGTGGAACACAGCGTACGTCAACTATGCGTATTAAACGTTTAATAAAAGTAAAGGGATCCATATACTGGTATATTTTGTTACATTGATACAAGAAAAAGCTATTTTTATTTACTCTTAGAACTTTACTTTGAAGTGTTGTGTTGCAATTATTATGCTGCCTTTTGTTTGAAGTTGAATATTTAATTTATATATTTCGTTAATTTTATTTTAAAAAAATTCAAGATTTTTTGGGCCGTTGTAAGTCAATTTTTTCAGGCATATTTCAGCATAGAATAATCAAGAAATAATTGTAATTGAAATATCGTAAAAATTTCCATATATTTGCATATTTTGTTAGGAGTAGATAAAACGAAGAAGACTAATATATCGTGATGTCCATTTCTGTATGCAGGCCAGTAAAGTCGGCTCATTTGGCGTATTTACTGTTTAATTTTAATTTATGATTACAATTTGAAAATGTATCCTATAGTTTTATTTAAGATACAGCCACTATTAACATGTTTCCCGTATTAATCGCTTCTGATGATAAACTTATAATTTAGTATCTGTACAAATGTTAGTTATTAATTTTAACTGAATGAGTAACCATCAGATAGGCAAAAATAAATATACTGATTATATTGTGATAAGAATATGATTTAGTTTGACTGATACAGTGGCGGATTGAGACAATTGGTATTAGGAGTGCACAATATGTCATATTAATTCAGACCATTCACCTATATTTTAAACACTAATACTACCACCAAGAGGGTACCCTATACCCGTAGGGAGCAGAGGGACCATGCTCCTCCCCACTATTTTTGGTCACTATAGTTGAAAAAAAATCTGGGGTGGGAAAGTAAACAAATAATCAGTATATTATAATAGTTATTATGTGCGTTTTTACATTTGCCCCATAATATAAGTTAAGATTGGGGCTGACGTAAATAATACAATATAGGTAAGTATGCAACCAAAACTTGATAGGGGAAATGAAACAAAAGAACAATGTATTAGGGCAATTTAATTTATTCTTAATTATTTTTCACATAAAACAGTTTATATAATTATTCTTATATCAATAAATAATATGCTATTTAAAGTTTAAATTATGTATGTATGTTCATCGGTTTTATGTGTCCCATACCATAAATTACTTAAATTTAAATAAAATAAGTCTGTATAGTTCCAAAATTAACAATAAATATAAAATAAAAATTACTATATATAATAATATACATGTATATAATAATATCTACAAAATATATTATATAACAATCAAACAACGGATTACCGTTACCGTAGCTATAATGGTAAAATTAAAAATTAAAAATACAACAAATACATGTAGTTATATCAATCTTTTTTCTTAAAAATTGCTTAAATTTTAGTATAATCAGTATTTATATAGGTGTTCAATGAGTTTCTGTTATTTATTCTATGGTCATTTTTTAAGATGAATTAAGTATTGATATTCATTTGTATTTCATAATAATTCATTCGGATTCTACAGGAGTACCGATGAAAGAAATTGTTTTGTTATTAGACAATATTGTTAAATTGAACTTCTTTGCAGACTGAAGTCAAATTCACAAATAGTTCAAATGAAAGGGATTATACCTATTATATTATAAAATATTTTTAAGTTTGGTTGTGAAAAAAGTTAATTACAAGGATAAGTCGTTACATTTATATGTATATATAATATATATTTAAAATGTTTAAATGTTTATATATATATGTAACTAGATACAAATTTGGGATTCATTTTCTACTGAATCAAATAATACTATTTTTAAGTTGCATATTTTTTGAATTTTTATTTTAAATTCATACTTTTGGGATTGTAAGAACATGAACACTTATATCTGTACATTTTGTAACTTCTTCAAAAACAATTAAAATTAACGGGTAGATAAATGATAATATAATTGTGTTTGTCACAAATATTTTTAAATTTATATTATAACATAATTTTTATATACCTATATATTTGTTTATTTTACAGAACGCCACTATAAAATATTGGTGACGTATTTTCATTTCTAATGTAGACAGATGATTAGAAATTAATTTATTTACATCCTCTAGATCATTTTTTATTTTATACCACAATAAATCACACAATCCAGTGGTTATCAATGACTAGTGACGCCTGAGTTTGTCATAAATTATCCTTGTACAAATTTTTCATTTCATTTTCTGATCATTTTTTACCATTTACCTATGCAAGATAATAATATACAAAACATTCCACATCAATCATAATTTTATTATAAATAATTCTATAATTCTACAAAAAAAAATTTAAAAAAAATAATATCTTTGTTTTAGTATGATCACATATTTTTTTATACATATTATTAATTCTACCACAACTAAACATACCTGATTTTTATTTAGAAATGGAAAGGGTAGTTTAATCTCAAAAAAAAAAAAAATATCATTATTATACAACTGAACACAGTGCCACAACTAGGATTCTTGGGGCCCTGGACACATTAATTTATGGGGCCCTGAGCGGAAAAACCAGCGATTTTTTTGTTTTCATTTTATTTTTCTATTTTTCGTTTTCTTTTAGCAGCTCTGCTTAAATACTTCCTTGACGTTGACATAATTTTTAAAACCGTCAAAATCATTTATAACTAAGGCTCGGAACTTTAGGCATTTGCATATTTGTTTAAAAAGTGCATATTTAAATTCTGATTCGATACAAATTTGATTCATAGTATGATATTTCAGATATAAAAAATTTTGTTGCATAATTTTGCATATTTTGTTACTTTTTATTCCGATTCGCATATTTTGGATTTAAGAATATTTATGTACAGTTTGATAATAAAATATTAGATATATGACAACCAAAATTCTAAGTTTTCTATCGTTTGACAAAATAAATTAATTCATCAGCAGGCTCCCAATGCACTCAACAATAATATTATAATCTTTATAGTACCGAGAACTCGTAATATTCACCACCACCGGCCCGTATTTATTTTTATACAAATTTACCACTGTATTAATATTTTGTAACATGACATAAACAAATTGTATAACTATAGGTTAGGTTAGGAGTCCAGCTCGCTACATGCTTATATAAATATGCCACGAACGGTGATTACAATAATTATTTCGGAAATCCCAATAGTATATATAAAAATAACTCATTGCATAACACTATAATATGTTATTTATAATACTATAGCTTATAGTATATCAATGTGCGATCCGGAGGGTCCCATTCTAATAAAATTGTAATTAATAAAAATAATAAAAATATACAATTGTATAATTATAAGAATAAATACATTAAATAATTTTTATGTAATTTATCATAATGAAATTATTTAGAGTGATGGGGGTCCGAAACCAACCACTAGAGCCTCCTTTACAGGGGCATTGCCCCTGCTGTGGTTTTTGCGACACTGACTAAACATTATATTATACTATGTTAAGAAGAAAAATTTGCTATTTTCAAAAATGTATAATTAACTTGGAACATTTGTTTATATAAGAATTTTATTCTTCTCGATACACGGTTCCATTTTTGATTCCAATCTCTATTAAAATATTTGATCGAAATGAACCACTATACTATCATTGTATCTTCATGGGAAATGTTGACCTTTTATTCTCATTTATGCAAAACTTTAAATTTGAGCATAAACTCATATTAATTGTTAAAATAATAATAATTTTAATATAATGAATAAAATACGATTTCTGTTTAATATGTTATTCATAGTTCCAAAGTAGAGAATAGTTAAATTTGAATATTTATTGTTATCATGAATGAATACAATTATTAATAAAATAATATTAATATTAATATTTTATTTGTATTTTATGCGAAAAAATCACATCATCATCGCCGTTTTATATTCAAACTATATTTTTTAAGATAAAAAAAAATCTGAAAATAAAAAATTATAAAAACGTTGGATGTAAAAATACATATAATGCACTGGCAATATATTAAATTCAATAATAATATTTCTCTATCAATATCTTATATTACATACTGTCAGAAAAATTAACATGGCTCTTTTTTTTACAGCACACTGAATACCTCTGGGATAGAAAATACTTTAAGTGAACACTTAATAAAACTGACCAACGATTGGAGAAAAAAGGTTAAGTTGAAAAAATAATAATCGTTTTACATTGAATATTTATGATAGTATATTGATTGGATTTAGACCAAAATAATTACGTGTTTTAATCGCTTAAACACTGTTAAAACGATTAATTTATATTTTGTTTACTCATCAACTATTAAATAGTGTTCACTACAGCACAAAATATGTTCAAATGTTGATAAAATAATGTTCTTCTTGAGAACTCAGTTGATTGTATACTCATAGTTAATTATGTAACAACTAACGTCATTAAAATTATACCATATTAAAAACATTTGTGACAAAAGTGATTGAAATAATTATTAAAACAACTATATTTATAAGCAGAAGTCAATTTAAAAATATAATAAAACAATCATGATTGATGCAATAACGTTTTGAACGTAATTAGTTTTGTTATTTTGCTCGAATTCAAAACATAATAACTACTAATAAAAAAATAAATTTTTATGAAAGAAAACATTAATGTTTTTTACTAAAGTCATACTGTTTTAGGGTTTTATATAGGTAGTAGTTTAAATTAAAATATATTTGTAATTTTAATTTTTGCTTCAATTTATTAAACTAGTTAATTCTAAAAGTAAATTAAATGCTTAATTAAATATTACTGACATAACCTAACCCTAAATTCTTGTTGTCAATAAACATTTCATTTTACAAAATTAAAACATTCAAACTATATAAGTTACATCATTGCTATTATTTTTCAAATTAAAATTAACATAATTGGCTATTTTCAAACAATATGCTTTTGAGTACACTTTTTGGTAAGAAAACTTTCCACTAGACATTGACTTCAAAAGTAATATAATAAGAATTTCTAGTTACCAAAGTAATTAGTTAAGAACAGTTACAAAAGTGTTGAGTTATTTATAATTACCGTATTAAAATTACAACCTAAATTATTAAACATTCTTAAAAATTGAATTTCTAGTTAATCATATATTCGAAACATCGAAAACCTTGTACAACATTTTTCTTTACAAAAAAGAAACCTATGGTGAAGTTTAAAAAATGTTTGAAAAATATTGTTTAAAGCCTACATTTTTAGTTTTGGTCATTGAAATTATAAACCACCTAAAAATTTCTCCTACACTTTACTATAATTTTATTAATACATAATATATTATAGTATATTTATATAACTTTATTTTGATTTTACTATAATTCTATATCATTTACATTAATATTTTGAATGTATTTAGAAAAAAAAAATGTTTTTTTTGAAAGATAAAAAATGCATATTTATATTATATATATTTATAATATATTATATTATATATAATTGTATAATTGTTTTTTTGAATGACAATTTATCATTACAAACGAATATAAATATACCTAACCTGGAAAATCTTACCTTTTAAGAATAATAAAATAAAATGAAATGTTTTTTTGGTTTTCTACTATTTAACCCGAATTCGAAAAAAAAACCCTTACATAATAAAAATAAATTATATGTGACTTTTATAAATTAAAGTGTTTTATTTTTATTAAAAGTATTTCACACCTGTATTTCTCAATAATAAGTTCCTTTTTTTTACTCAAAGTATCATGAAAATTTATGAGAAAATAAATTTAAATATCATATTAATTCTGTTGTAATCATATATATAGTTGCATGCAACGTATAAGATCCTGTAGTATACAAGTGTACTCTTTCGTTTAAAATGAAACTAGAGCGTTTTAGACGTTTTTCTCTGCGTTTAAATATATATGTAAAAATATTTATTTTTTACGTTCCTGCAGAAGTTAAAATGACACCCTCGGGCACGAATGCTGAATGTATTATTTAAATGGATCCCTAGTGCCATTTTAGAACAAAAATAAAACCACAATCAAAAGTATTGTCATGATATCTGAAAACAGCCTATGGAAAAATTTCAAAAAAAATTTCTAAAACTATTGTATAATATTCTGGGAAAAAATTACTTTTCTTTACCTCTATTATTTTATCTAGTTGATCAATCGGTCAACCACTATAGTTGATTGTGAGTATAATTTTGCTACTTTATCTGTCTATCATATGTGTATCATCGTAATATTTAGATGTATTATATTTCAGACACAATGATGGGCTCAGTGATGCGATTAGAATTTTAAAGATTTGACTTCATCTGAAATTTCACTTTACTTGATGATTGACTTTTTGTGCCACAAAAACTGATAATAATTAAATTTTTACAATTCATTTTTAATGGTTGTTTAGCTGATAAATTGAAAACATCAATCTTAATAATAAGTTTTAAATTTTTTTTTTTATTAAGTCTTGTAGTGTCATTGGATAAATTTGTACATTGGAATCATAACGTCCTAATTATTATGTCATGCGTACAATGCACAGAGAAATCTCTGCTTTCAAAATAAAACTATTTACCTTATAGTATATTCAGCAGAATATTTATATATACTCAATTGTTAAAATATAAGTTTGATGTTGAAAAAGTATCCTGAAATGTTATTCTCACTTATAGGGTACTTCTGTATTGTGTAAAAACATCTTTAAAAGTTGTTCGTGGAACGGAAAAGACTTAAATTGTTGCAGACATTTTCAGCCACATTTTTTTGTTATTGAAAACCCATGTTTTTCAATTAATTCTCTACAAACAGTAAACAAGTAATCAATTTTATAATAAATTCATTAATAGTATTATGCTCTAAAATATACATACATTAAAATTAACAAAATTATTAAACAGGATGAAAAGATTAATCGTCAGTCACTTTTCGAAAAAAGGAGAACTGAGAATTGAATTCAACAAACCAGTTAAGGTGAGTATAAATTCTATAAATCGTATAAAAATACATTCGACGTTCATGATTTAGTAATCATTCACTAACTCAACTTTTACGGTTAAGTAAAAATGTATTGAAAATAAATTAATTTATAAATTAAATTTATATAACAGGTATGGGCAACTCAAAGTTAATAGAGGGCAAATTTTTAGAAAATTAAAATCTAGCGGGTAAGAGTGTAGAGAAAAAAAAGGTCATTTAAAATATGAATTTTAATTAGTATTTATATTCACCGAAATAATAAATTCAATAAATTCAACACACACGACAGCACGATACGAATGATGCGAAGAAACTGATATAGTTAAATAGTTCCGTACGAACAGCTATGGTTGAAAGCTATACTTATACATACATATGCCATTTAGAAATTTAAAGATGTTTAATACTAATTTACAATTATTGTTTCGATAAGTCAGAGTATAGACGATAAACATTGAAATTGTAAGATGTAATTTTAAAATATAGTACGGGCCAGATAAAAAAGCTCGCGGGCCGCCAGTTGCCCACCCCTGATGTATAAAAAAAATCAATCACAAGTAGGGTGTAAAATGTATAATATTTTATTCTATTTTTTAAGTCATGCTATCGGTTTTAAATAGAACTTATGAACTTATAATACAAAATTCAATTTATTTGATTTTATAGATATGTTTTTGGTCATTCCACACGAAATAACTCATGATTATGGCCTTATAATTTGGTGACTATTCAAACCATGTCGTATCATATTCAGTATTGTATTTAGACAATTTTCGCCCAACGGCAAAAACAAATCGATTTCCCTTACAGGGGCTTACACATAGGGAGATAGATTCCCCATGAGCTCTTTAGATTTTTAACTAAGCAAATAATACTCGTATATTGGTTTTAAAATGATGTGAGTTATTTTATCAAAAATTATATAGTTTTATAATTTAGATTATATCCATCCTCTCCAAAGAAAAAATTGATTATATTCTAGAAATTCCATAAATTCTGTATTTTATTCCTTACATATTAATTTAATTTTTCAATTTTAAATGGAAATATCTAAATCAAGTAGTTAATTGTGATGTATCAACAAAATATATTAAATTTTTTTTTTTTTTAGTAGTAATATTTAAAATGATATATAGATTCAATATTATTTAGTATTATAAATTATATATTAAAATGTTAATTTATTATTAATTAGCATATGGAAATATACCGAATTGCTAATTATTTGTTTTATTGTAGGTTTTTATTTAAAGAACTAAAAATTACTATTAATCTATTCAAATAATAAGTTTGTAAAAGTTAACAAATATATAGTACTAAAAATTTTTATATGAAATATCACTTTATAATTAATTTTTAATTATATTAACATAATATGTTAACATATTGTGTCTCAATTCTTTTCAAAACCATAAGTACTAAAAATTACTTTAAAAGTAAAAATAAATAATTGATTAACTTTTTATTTGAGGAACTTTATGGCCTTACCTCCAAATCCCATTGTTGCCGCCTGTGTAAATTTAGTAAATATATTATATTAATGATTTATAATGTCCCGCATTTAAAAAATAAATCTGAAATCCATAGCGCAAGCCTCCCATGCTTTGCCCATACATATATATTTATTTAATTACATTATATCCATTATTCACCTTAGTAGTTATTTAATTTTGGTAGTTCATTGATTATGTTATTATAATAAAAATATCTTAAACCAATTTCAATTAATGTTTTAATAATTATGCTTTATATATTATAATATATACAAATATATTTCAGTGTAAACATTTTCAACCACCTTAAAAATTTAGTGTTCTCAAAATGTTGGCGCCCGGGGTGGTTGTATCTATTTTTCCCTCCCTCTTAAATATGACCCTGATCAAACTTTGATATCTCAATTATAAATTTCAAAATATTTTACTGTTTTTCATTATCCATATTTCATTTGACTATTCATACACTCTTCTACTAAGTGATACTATTTGATATTCAATGAGACTATATTTTGTGTTCAAAATGTATTCGATACACCTGTTAATGTCTAAAACCAATTTCTTACCTTATTTTATAAGCACCAAAAAACTGCAAAAACTGTCTAAAAACATCAAAATATTTCTATCACACTTGGTTAATTTTGATTCTTATATATAGTTTTACTTCATTAGTATTAGTGTTATAAAACAAACCTTATAAATACGGTTAGGTGAGCTTTAGATGAACCAGAATATCTGAAAAAATTAGAAAATCTACTATGGTGAAAAATTCTTCGGGTCCCAAATAATATATTTATATATTTTTACATTTTAAATAATCTGGAAGTTTATGCGATTCATAAAATCGTCTTGATCTCTTTTTCTGCTGTCTTTAAAATGGATTTCACTGTACAACTCCAATCAGTACTGGAACATAAATAATTTATTATTTATTTGATTTTTTTTGTAATTTACATAATAATTAATTATAACATATAATTAGTATCAAGTGATTTTATTAAGGATATTGTAGTGATTAAAATATACGAATTATGACGACGTCAATACTTCAATTAACAAAACAACGTTGATATCGTTTGATCAAATCGAAGAAAATGTTCTACCTGCATCAATCATACTGGAAAATTAAATTAGTATTCAGCTAGTGATTTTTTGACTTTATTTAACTGAAGGGTCCAAGACTAATAAAATTTGATTGCTTCAAAAATATAATGCAAACAAATGTAAATAAAAATCTGAGTATTTTATATGCAATACAAAACTCCACGGTAGTAAAACACTATTGCTCTAATATAAATAATGTGATATTTTATTTTTCATTTTTTTATTTTTAGATATACAATAATGCCATACATTTTTTTCATGTAAAATACTCATAGTAAAATTCTTATTTCAATGTTATTGTATAGTTGTTCGAATTGTCCACATACTTAAAAATCTATAAAACATATGAATTTTATATATCCTTCAATTATGATCATTATATTTATTAATTCTCGTACATGAATAAATTTAGATAAATGCTTCATGCATTATTTCGCTTATTATCACCATTGCATTTTTAAACTAAAAAATTCACAGTTAAAAATTTAAATTTAAAAATCACAATCTATATTAAGATTCCAGCTGAAAGTAAAATCAATCAAATACTAAAAAGGAATACAAGACGGTTATCAAAAACAGTTATTCTGAATTATGTGTAGGAGTGATTCAAATTTAATGAAATTGGTAGGATCATAAAATATTTTCGAAATCACTAGGTATTAAATTTGGTGTGAATTTTTTATGTGAATAATTTATGTGACCGTAAAGTTTCTATTTATACAACTCAAACAACTTTCTTAGCAAAATGAGATTTTAAAATGCTTGTCGTGTAATATGTGAGAAAAAAAATACAAATCAGCATTTACGTGATCGATCAAACGGTTTTATACTTGTGTATATAGTGTACTATTGGTACTTTATCGTTATTCAATCAAATGTTAGAGTGAGAAGATTTGAAAAAATGCTGAAGTTAATTTAAAAACGGATCAAGAAAAAATATGTCTATAAGATATTCTGAATAAGATAAAATTATAAAACAAGTTGAACGGCTAATCGACTGACAGTATCAATCATAAATTGTATATTATGGGTAAAAAATACTTCCAACTTGGTTATAAAAATTGTGTCTACGATAATCTTGTATGCCGTATAATAATGACCAAATAATAGGACCAAATTGAAAATAAAAACAATAAAGGAAAAACAAAATGGAATTGTTCGCGGGTCGCGCACAGGGATTGATCTAAAGCCATCATAAAACATATTAGGTTACAGCAGTAAAATGTATGCAAAGGCCATATCGTTTTATACAGTTCGCAATGACACACGAGGGTCGTTCATACACGAGCGAAAACCGTTTCCTTATTTTTATTACGCAATTTTGTCCAAGATACATTCTGCTTGTCGTTATATTTCCCGGACCGTTTTCGGGTTCGAGATAATGTCAAATTAATGCGTGGTTGGTTAAAAAAAAAAAAAAAAACACCGTCCTCGAATACGAGCTTTTAATTTTCTCCGGTGTTCACCGAGCGAAATCATTCGACGAATTTTTATCGCGGCCGGTGCGTAGCACTACGAACATTCGGCATTTTGGATTGGATGATATAATCAAGCGACGACACAAGATAAATTAGGCCTTCGCGTAGATTATGTAGCGCGATCCCGTAGCAGTAAATTATTATAATTTATGAACAAAATAATAAGGAACCGCGGCGAAATTCCGCCCTTTTCCAGTCAGACCTCGGACGAACAGTTCGTCGTCGAAGCGGACAATGAATATGCAACGGCAATAATAGTAGTGATAATATGGCAGCCGAAATGTACAGAGCAGGCGAACACGTGAACTTGGAGTGAAGGACTCGGTTTTGTTTGCGTCTGGCTACGGAAACAGCCTGTAACATTCTTCGTACCCGTGATTGTGTTACGGAGAAGAGGGCCGTGTCGCATTTTTGTGCAACAGTGCAATTTTTATACACGTGGAAGGACCGAAATATGGCTCACGGATCCGCGTATGGAGAGATGCTACGGGCGTATGGATGCTAGTGAGTGACGCGTGATCGTATCCACTGATCCGTAAACAAAACCGTCATTGGTTTACGATATTTTTGGCGGATAAAACATATTTCTCGATTCGAAATTGTTCGTTCGTAAATCCATGGTAGGAACTCGTTTCCACCCACCCTCCCGGTTTTGAACAAGGATACATTATTGACGATGTTGCGTTCTTATTTTTTTTCCTTAATTCTCTCGGTAATTTTTTTTATAGCCGGACCGAAATCTTGAACTCTATAAATGTAATCATTTTGTAAGCAGAAAAACAAAAACGCTAAGATAAGATATAATAATAATAGAATACCCTTTAATATGAATTTTCACCGAATGGTTTTGTCCTACGCGTAACATATTTTTTCGCTTAAAAAAAAGGCGGTAAGCAAGTACAGTTCTACGATATTTGCCTATGGGAGGAATGTCGTAACGAATTCGTACTAGAAAAACCGTTAGAAAAACGACTGGGCCTTAAGAAAGTATGTCGCCGAACTCGTGTGGCCGTCGAAGTGCGTTAGGTCCCGTCAGAGGCGGCTTGGACGTAATTACAAGAGGTGCACTGAACTCTCGAAAAAATGGGGTAGGTGTTAGTAGGGGTATGGTCGAATTGCACTTAAAAAAGGTAAAGGTCGAACTGCACACGGGTAAAAGCAGGTAGTGGTTGAACTGCGCTTGGGCTCAAAAAAGTATTTCAATAAAATTATCAAGCATTTGAAGGAGTTAGATTTATTTTATTTAGTTACATTTATTACCATTTTGTAATCATTAGCGTGGTTAAAAATTATTGTTTTATACATCACATTATGATATGTTAATTATATATATTTACATTATATTATATTATATTATACATTTTTTTTTTTAATCGTCAAATTTAATTATTGTCATTTCGATCATTTTTTTGAGTAATGATTAATTGTATTTAAAAATTCTACCTTGTTAATACGCTGCTGAGTATAAATGTTATTATTATAAAATATTATCTGCGTTATCTAAATGGCACGAACTAATACATAATACTAAGTACACCGTAGCGTTCTTCAACAGAATGATTCGTAATATTTTTTAAAGGGTTTTCAATTTTAACTTTTTTTTTGAACGCGTGCAGTTCGACCATTTGCTTTTTTCAATCCAAGTACAATTCGACCATTTATTTGTAGGTAATAAATGCAATTCGACTATCCCGGTTAGTAGTACACTACTACCATGTTTACAAATTATGATGGTATTAATACATTATACTTATAGAATCAGAATGCTTTAGTCCATCGTTATAACTATATAGTACAGTATTTAAATGGTATTATTAAAATATATTAAGAAGGCGTTTCAATCGTCACGGAATTTTTAACTTATTATTTTATTATTATAAGTAGGTAAGTAACTTCCTGTTTTATTGTTATATCTAATTCTTAGGTATTTCAAAAAGTGCAATTTTTATTTTATATTTATTATTAATTTTGGAACTATACAGACTTATTTTCTTAAAATTTAAGTAATTTATGGTATGAGACACATAAAACCGATGAACATACGTACATAGTATAAACTTTAAATAGCATATTATTTATTGATATAGGAATAATTATATAAACTTTTTTATGTGAAAAATAATTAAGAATAAATTTATTTGCCTTAATACATTGTTATTTTGTTTCATTTTAATTTTCCCCATCAATTTTTAATTACGTACTTACCTATATTGTATTTTTTATGTCAGCCCCAATCTTAACTTATATTATGGAGCAAATTAAAAAATGCACATAATAACCATTCGAAAATATAACTAATTGAATATACTGATTATTTGTTTATTTCTCTATCCCTCCCCCTGATTTTTTTCTTCTTTGTAAAAATAGTGAGGAGGCACATGGTCCCTCTTCCCCTATAGGTGTCTTTGGTGATAGTTGTTAGATGTTTAAAATATAGGAGGGTGGTTTGAATTAATATGTGCACTCCTAATACCAATCGTCTCAATACGCCACTGAGTCTCGTCATTAATAAATCGTATACGAGCGTACACAAACCGTTACGAGCGCATAAAAACTACTAAACGCATACAAAGAAACGTGTCCAGAGCTTGATGAAGATATTTTTCGTCCCGGGGCAAACTTTCTTAAAATTCAGAACTATTTTTTTACTCCAAATGGTACCCTTTCATTATTTCAAAACGTCGCGCCTTTAAAAATCTTGCTCCAGGGGGCAAATTCCCTTCCTCTAATCCGGCTTTGAACGTACCGCTACGCGTGGTGCGCAACTGGTCCTGGCGATGAGTCGATGTGCGTTCTGACGATACAATTTTCAGATATTGTTGCACGGTGCCGGAGACGTGGGTTTCGGCGGACTCGGCGAGCAGTACACGGCGGTGGACTTAGGCGAAGAGTACGAGCTGCTGTACACCGCTCGGCAGGTGGTCGAGCACATTTCGCTGGCGTCCCTGGACCCGTCGACGCGTGGGTGCGTGGTCCGTGGCGAGCGTCGGCTACTCGTGCACCGCGTATACAGCGAGACGGCCTGCCTGCTGGAATGCGCCGTGCGCGACCCTGTCACGTACGGTGAGTGTGCCCACGTTCGTTTTCGATAAGGATTGTCGTTCTGGGTGATTAAATTAACGATTTTTTTATCCATTCTTTTTTAATTTTTCCTTCGTTTTTCTGAACGCAAACCTCGCGCCAAAACCTGTGCGACGTGCAAAACGTCGATGTTACCGACGGAAACAGTCGAATGATTTTAACGACCGAATGTCGAACGGTAGAAAAACAATTTGTAATCGAACGATGAGCAATCATTACGGATAAAGATAATCGAATGAGTGATATAAATGATAACTATTAATAGGAATAAGATTACAATAATCGAGATACAATAATAACCATTGTGTTTTTTCGATTCAAAGAATCAAAATATTCTCTTGTTTCTCTTGTTATTGAATTATTGAAATATTAATATTATTTATTGAACAACTAATCAACAGTCAAGTTATTAAGCATTTATCTGTCATATATGCACCCGTATTAAAATCATCTAGTTGTCTCATAAATGCATATTTAGAATTCAAAACGTTTGATGCCAGTCTGTTTATTTATTTATTTAATTTTATTCTCATTTTTCTTGATTAAGGTTTTCGTTTAAATTGTGTTCATTTCTATATGACTTTCAAGATTGCTGAAGTTACTATAAAACATAATCTTATAAATAGGGCTCGGATGTTGATGACCTTATAAAATATTAAAAAATGATCTAAAAAAAATATAAATATGACAAAAAATATCCTTAAAAAATTACCTAAATAATTACAAATATTTGTTTTGAATTAATAAAATACATTTTTTTAAATATTTTATTCTATTTTACTATAACATTCAATATAAATTTATCAAAACTTACAAATTACTCAAAATATGGCATAAAAATTATAACAAATGTCCTTAAAATATGAAATAAAAAATTACAAAAATTTGTTTTGTAAATTTATCAAAGCTTACAAATTACTCAAAAATCAAAATCATTGTATTGTACGATTAGAACGTATGTTATCAAAAGTAAATCAATGACGGTTATCTATTTATAAATATTTATATTTGGAAAAACTTCTCTCCGTGTCCACTGAAGTTATTGTGAGACGCAGACGTGCACTAACCAACGTTTTAATTTTCGTAATTTCGAAAATATTATGAAAAAATAATAAAATTTAGATATAATACTATTCACCACAACACGACAACGACGAATGTAATCGATGAGATAAAATTGAACAAGTTTTATGTAATCAACATAATGGTCGATAAGAAACAATAAGAAATGAACTAGTGTGTAATCAGTAAAAATGACTAAAATGTAGAAAAATTACCTAAAAATGTCAAAAAATGACTTTAAAAATAACAAACACCAAAAAATACAAAAAAAAAAAAATGCAAAATAAAAATTAATTATTTGAATTCACATGCTAATGAAACATATTTGAAGCCAGGATAGCATTTTCTAAAAAGTTCGAAAAAAAAACCAAAATGCATCAACTTCCGAGCCCTACTTATAAATCACATATTGAAGATAAAAAAAATAACATTAAAACATACTTACAAAACAAGTGCAGCAATTTATAAATATTATTTTTTTTGACATCATTATTATATAATATATGTATATAATTATATTTATAATATATGATACTTTTATGTTTGTTACAGCAAAGAATACCACATTGTGCGATTGTCCTCCGACGTGTGCAGGAATGGAAATAAACAATGTATGGAACAGTACCCGAAGGTGTGTACAAAAAAAAAAAAAAAACGAACCGAAGGAATAACTACAGCTACTACTTATATTACTCGTATAATCGAAAAAATATTAGATTTGTATCGCACGTAAGTCTTCGGCAACTCAAATTCGTTTAGATGTACTAAACAGCATAATATTATTATAACTCTCGGAGACAACAGCAACGTTTAATGATGTAAACATTTTAACGTACGCTTATAGTCTCGTGTTCTTTTGAGTAGGATATTATTTCTATTCGCGCCGTCGGTAACTCGATTCCACGACGACCAGATTGAATCCGCAGGTACGCGAAGTCGCAGTGAAGTACCGGTAAGTGCACGGCTTAGAGCTACGAAGCTGGTACGGTGGAAAAGAAAAAAAAATGTTTTTTACCGAAAACTCCGTAATGAAATGACGCGAATGCATTCGTACAGATGAGCCGGTCGGCCGCGGGTTTACGGAATGATTAACCGGTAATGAAATCAACTCTGACACGAATTCCTGGTCGTTTATCGTGTTGACGTAATCGTATCGTACGTACGAAATTAACGACTGTTCCGAGACGGGGTTCGCGTTAATAAATACGTTTCAGACCGTCCGATACATCGCGTACATTCGTCAGACGGACTTACTTACCAGTCCGGAGGGGGCCGTGTGTTCGAAACCAACGGATTTGTGTCCGAGGTGAAGTCGGATATTGCGTTCGGGTTTCATGTCGAACAGATAGCCACGCGCGTATCGCGCAGGGCGTATTTGAGAGGGCGAAAGGGCGATCACCCCTCCCCTGAATCCTTATTTAAGGAATTGATTATATGTAAGGTACACATTTCAAATTTTATAACGAAATCAAATTATGAGTGGCTGTGAATACTGGATTGGGCTTTTTATCGGGTCCATACTTGATGGAAAATTAAAATAAAACACAAGCGTAACTTTCAAAACACAGATGGTGATAAAAAAATACTGCAGAAAAGTCGATTCTTAGTGGATCCGGCATTAGATTAAAAAAAAAACCATAAATATTAAGGATTTACCAGATTTAAATATCACCAAAAATTTTATTTAACTTGAATTAAAGAAAAAATTTGAGCTCCCCCCCCTAGAAGTAAGCCTAAATACGCCCCTGGTATCGTGCACTACCCCTTCGGTGGTGGCGTATAGACTTGTTTTACAGAGCGGCCCCGTAATGACCACCGCAATCGAATGGTCGGTAGGAAAACCGTGCTACGTGTAGCGATTCGTAAACTCTATTGGTTATAGTATGTAAACGAAATATGTGACCGTTACAATTTCTTATAAATATCATTCGGAATGCTCGCGTTCTCAACGGTTTAACGAGATTGTATCGTGTTTATGTTTATGAAATTTTCTAGTAACTTTCATAAAATATTTTCACGTTATTCAGCAAAAAAAAAAAATTAAACCCGAAAAAACGTGATTCCCGCCGACCCTTCGATTATTATTTTTAGAACACGAGGAGGACATGGGCAGTTGGGATATATTATGAAAGGTGAACAATTTTGAATTTACTCGTGTTAAAATATTATTTAGTCGAAAGTTATGGGTACGGGCAAGAGCGCGTGGAAAGTTTCTTGTTTATAAGTTTTACACATTAAACGAGACGATAATCAACGTAGAACAATAAAAGTTTTACTAAACAATCTTATGTAGGGCAGTGCCTTTTTACCATCTGTGAGGTCATTAAATACGCACACTAAATCTAATCGCCATCGAATGACATGCGGTTAGCCGAACCGTGACCACGGCTAACGCCACTAATGAGATGATGAATGACGTATTTTCCGGAGGAAAAAGGATTAGTTAATTTAATTAACCAATTTTTTAATACTATTATTATATTTCATGATATTAGAAAATATTCAACGATATATCAAATTAAAAAAATATAAATTAGGTAATTTATGAAATAACCATTTAATTATCTATATAAATTTATATATTAATATATTTTAGTCATATAAGTTATTTTTAATTTTAATTTTTGTTTTTTACTGGACATAAACATCGTAAGAGTTCTAAAATAATATTAATCTCACGGCCAACTCAAACGGCCTAGGTGATATTTATACCTAACTATCAATTATAACTAGTCGAATTTTGATACGATCAACTATAATATTATGAATATATCTTATTTCGGTTTCAACTTCAACACTGTATTGATTGACGTAATTTTCAAACTGTTTAGGCATGTCACAAATCTTTCAAATTTATTCCACCAGTATTACAAAAATTCTCAACACGAAATTTATTTCAGATATTTTCGCATACTCATACCTACTCTATTATAATTGCATTTTTATAACCAGTTTGTGAAAAGCTGAAACTAGTAGTATTAAAAGCTTCAAACCCCTGAATTTACGGCTTATGGTAAAGTATTAAGTGTAATATTTTCGCCACTCCATCATAATAAACACCATTATTTTTGGGGTTGATATGCATGAGAAAATGCAATCAGATCCATTGTTCTATGGTAAATAATTCAATAAAATACCTTGCATAAATTGACCGTATAAACCAATATCCTTGAATAAAAATTAAAACTTTGCACACTGCACTTATACGTAATTATAGCTAAGTTTAATAAATATTCATATTTTCTATCCATTTCCGCCCAAAGTTATTATCTCGATCATTTTAAATTGTTTAAGGAATATCAAATGTAAATAACAGATTTAACGTTTTAATATTTATGTACAGTTTGAATTCTACTTTATTTATAGATCCGACGAAAATATCACCAGGAGTATTCTCACCATGACAAAACCAGCAACGGAACGATTAATTATGAAAGCCAGAAAGGACTACATTGAATTAACAGGTTGCAATTTTGTTTAAAATTAAATCCATCATTCGTATATCATACAGTATTATTTATCGCCGAATGTAATTTTTTAGTGAAAACCTTTCAATAAAAAACCATATTACATCTATTTTAGGTTTTTATATTACCAACATAAGTGTAACCCGATTTTGAGCGTACGATACAAAATGTGACCTAAATTAGTGAGCAGATAAGCTTTTTATTTTAAAAACGGATATACATTGAGTTTATTTCTTTAAATATAATTACTCTTGAGAATTTTATATTATTTAAAAAAATAATAATAATTATTATGATATATTTCGTTATTTTGACGTTAAAACAATGTTTTGAAGAATTTAAAATATTTTGGATACGCAAAAAAAATAAAATAAAATAAATAAGAAGAATAATATATAATATGAAAAAGGTTTACATTATCATGGTATCATTACTCTTCACAACCAATATCGTTTAGAATTATGGTTGCATAATATCTATTTATTTTTATTTTGAGTTAGCACGGCATTCAAAATAATTATACGAATAAAAACGTAATATTTATCAAGGTAATATATATTTTGGGTTGATAATCTATTTTTTCGTTTAATATTATTTTTTAAATTTAATTTATTTGATTTTTCTATTACTAAAATTTGTCGATGACGTAGTTATAATAATTGATAGTTATTAAATCATTAAGTTCAAATAATATAAGATCGATTTTTCGACGTATAAAATAATATCTCGGACTCAAATAGAACATTTATAACTATCATTTTGATAATTATAAATTTTTACTAGATTGTTATTATTACATAGCTGAATAGTATCATATTTATATCATAGTATATAAAATAAAAATTCTGTTTTATGAAGTTAGTTATGAATGGTTAATGAAGACCATTAAATCAATGATTTGAATATTGGTCACATGTTCACTTCGTTCATTTGGGCGTTGTAGGCAATCACGATTTTGGTTTTTTGAACTTAAAAGCAATGATAAATTATTAAAAATTGAAATTGTGAGCAGGTGCTTGGTTGATGTTTTTGAAATATCAAGTGCTCGTAAAAAACAAAAATAGGAGAACATTATTTTTAATAAGTACTTCGTATCATAATAATGAGTACATAAGTAAACACTGTATTCAAATTTTTAATCCACTTATATACTTAAAACAAAAAATTTTCTAATCTAAATCTAAAATTTTTAAGCACACTTCATACATTTAACAACATCTATACAGGACGGAATTCCCACGAACATATTAAATCCGTTTAAGTATCTCTTAAAATAATAATGATAAAGAAATTCTGTTGTTTTTTTCAAGACTATAGATTATGGATTATAATTTTGAATTAGATTAAGATTTTTTTCTCTAGATTTTGGTAAAAGTTAAGAATTACTATATTTTATTGCTTTCAAATAATTTTCGAGTAACCAATTTGTTATATTTATTTTTCTGTAAATGTTAACGTAATTGTGTTTTATATGTCTTAATGTTTTCTTATCTTGATGTGTGATGAATTCACAACGGATAAAACACGATTGTGTACGTTTGTAGATGGGTAACAAAATGGTGAGTAAGAAAAATAATTAAACACGACTGCGTATAAAATTGTATGTTACGTTGTTAAATTTACTAATTTCACCGTATTATATCTATATATAGAATACATATACAACAGTTCTATAATAATTTATAAAAAAAATGAATAATAAAGTAACAAATAAAATTAGGATGACTAAATAAAAATAATTAATAAATAAATTAAATCAACAGTTTTTATTTAAATAAAATTATTGTTAATAAATTATTTGGAAGTGCTTAAATTTGGATTCCCTGACATCTATAACCAACTACTTTTACTGAAACTCGAAAAATACAGTACCTATAACGGAAATAGTTTCGTTATATCTGATATAGTTGATATCATTAACAATAAACATAGATGTAATGAAAACGATATAACACAAAGTATTTATTAAGTTTTTCAAGTTCACTCGTATATGCTTGTGGTGTATACCAATACCGGTATGGAAATTGGCATCAAACTTTGTACGGTAATCGTGTAGTTAAAAACAGGTAAAATCGAACGGAATCGTTTAGCTTAAAAGGTATCACCGATAACGAATGTACGTAATCCTGTTTTACCCAAGATTTACACTCATTTAAATAAATACAACTTTATACTGATAATGAATAATAAAAATAATTTATTCGTAACAGTAAATTAGCTAATAGTAGACACATTTTAAATTATATTAAGCCTATAATGTTTTTTTTATTTATAATATTACTAATAATACACAAATGTTTAATTAATTATTCAGTGATACAAATAAACTTTATGTTGTTGCAGTAGTATTTTCCTGCCTATTACAATTGTTTGCTGGATTCAACTTGTTGGACATTCCCAAATTCATATCAAACAAGTGTAATCAGTATTCTATAAAACTTAAAAATTAGGTTTAAATATTATATCAATTTTCTAAAATATTAGAGAATTTAATAAATCATTTATTATATATACTGTGTATATTCTTTAGTGTAATTAGAAGTAAAACAAATAATAAATAAATATCGCTATAGCTAGGAAATTCAAGCTATGCCTTAAACGTCATTAATTGTACATGACATATAATATATTGTACAAGTTATGTAATAAACTATATCATAAATAAAATTTCATGTTATAATATACATTTATAATATTAAAACCATTTTGAAAAATCCTATTAATTAATAATTTTTTTTTTTATTTTTGTATACTTTTAGTTATAATAAGAAAATAGTTTTATATCAATATGTTTGAGGTAAGTACCCATAAATAAAGTTAGTCCATTTTTCATATAATGTTCCTCACTATAATTTGTAATAAAAAAAAAAAAAACATCTTCCTTCATTTTAATTGTAATGGTTTGTGTTGATTGAACATTTTTTCACACTCCTTTTATTTGTTTCTATGTAAAAAAAAAATCAGTCAGAATAGTCATAATACAAAGTGTAGTAGTGACATATATTCCAAAGAATATTAATAATTTTACGTAAAAATTAAAATTATTTAAATCCCATGATGATAAACAATCGTAAGTAAATACATTTTAAAATATTTATTAATTTCAAGAAAATTAAGTTAGACGTAAAAATACTACTTCGATTATTTATAAATAAATAATAACAACAACAAATTATAACAATAAATTATGAAATATGTGCCGCGTAACCGATAGCAATAATTATCTTTACGAAAAACCTCAAATAATATTTTTTGTTGAATTGCTAGGAATCATATCTTTAAACCATGAACCACAAGTTGAAAGTTTAATTTATTTCGTGTTGGTTTATTGAAGATTTTTTTCGTAGAAAATCAAAAAAAAAAAATTATTTGCCTCATTCCTCTACAATTTTCAATATTATACCCGAAGTGAAGCCAATAACAATATTTCATAAATAAATAAATGAATACAAATATCGGGTATTATACAAACCGGCTACTACTTATTTTATATTTATTTTTAAAATGATTTATTAAAAATTTGCATAGTACGATAAAGAAAAAGTATTTTTATAATTTATTTTTTACGAATTCAAAATGAATTATACTCGAATGTAATCATTATGTGTAATTCAATATTAAGGTTGTTATTTACTTATAGGCTCATATGAATATATTGCTTAAAGTTAAATAAAAAAAAATATGTTTTTTTCGGTCATATGCTATTGTGATGTGCAAATGGCAACAATAAGTATTTATTAATATTATCCATTGAATATCTATAGAAATAATTGGTACACTTTTATTAACTTATCCCGTTATACCGGTGTTAAAATAAAATACATTTTACAAAATGTATTTAAATGTAATATTAAAATAATTTCATTATCCCATGAGAAACTACTGTGAAATCGAAAATAATATGTTTTTATCAAAAGAGGATGTTTTCGATTATAGCATCTGATTAATATTTCAATTACACTACCTTTTATCTTAATTTAATACACTGACTATGTATCCTTATATTCTAAATATAACCCATAACCAACTGGGTACAATAATTAATCAATAGTAATAAAATCAATAAGATAATATACAATTCAATTAAAATTAAAAATTAGTAAATTTTAATTGTATGATCGTATTTAATTAATTTGTTTATATATATTTTTAAACTATTTGTTTATATATTTATAAAAATTATGTTATCAGAAAATGTTACGGGTAAACTAATACTAGGAACCATCCAAGTACTTCTCGTGAAAAACCAAAACAAAATTTTTCCGCCTTAAAATATGTACACCACATAATTTATAAAATTAAAATATATTTATAACAAATATTTATGCAACTGTGCAATGAGACAACGTTCCAATATTTCTGCGTGTACCAGTGAAAGTTTGAATTTAATCTCAAGCAAATAACAGTATCATATTTTATTATAATAGTAATAATATAGTCTCTATAACACTAACATAGAACGTATAATCCTATTAATTTAGTGATTATTTATGCGTATTTTCAAATGCATACAATATGAATTATTATCGTGCTCACCGAGAATCTATTTAATGCGTATAGGGTTAATGTGCTACACACTAATATTTATTTCAGTCATTAGTTTTATTTTACGTATTATGTGCAAAAAGAACGCACTTGAATACAATTTTATATTTTATATGCTGGAGTACACTACGAACACTAAGTATTGTGAAAACAAACACAAGTAATGAAAAGATTCATCCGAGATATTATATTTTTACGTATACTTTGATAAACATTGAAAAAAAAAATAAACGCTAAACAAAATCATGTGTCTAATTCGAATCGTAAATCGACAAATCATTTATTATTCTCATATTATATCATATCGTTATAAACCATCATCAATTTAAATTTAATGGTAAAAAATTCATTATAGTTTATTGACACTACATATTACTATTTACCTAGTATAAATGACCTTACGGATTAATTATTGGACTTAATCATGAACGCCTAATCATAAAAAGCATATTACTTAATAGGTGGTTTTAAAAGGAAAGAATACGAGTTCGTATTAACTCAATTTAACATCATTTGTTTTGAATATATTGTAGTCATCGGATGACTGCTGCTGTTGTAGCCAAAACTGCATGTTATCGGAGATAGATTTATATTCGTAATCGCCTTGATAAATTTGGAAAATCCAGGCCTTGAACACGCTATAGACCCAAGATATACATTGAGTGAATAGACTCAGCTTCTTTAACCCTCACCGTTCTTGAAAAAACGTCACAAATATTATTGTGAAAAGTTCATCGGAACACACAACTGCATGATTATAACAATCATATCCATTTAAAATTCCCAATTAATTTTAAATTCATTATACAGTTTAAAAAATATAAAAAATATTTTCACTTTATAATTCTTAACTATTACGTATCTATTTGGTGGCCGTCGACTGTAACTAATAATTATAAAAAATAGTGATTTACAAACAAAGAACCACTTATATTAAATATCATCCTTCTTAGACTTGCTTATTAAATTTACATATCTCTATGTACATGATTATTACGAGTCACCGTATATTTTTAATTAAAAAAAATTTAATTTCAAAGATATATTTTCTTTTTCTTTCCAATATTGATTTTAATCTGAACCTTATCAATTATCTATCTCTCGATAATTTAATTGATACTCTTTATAAAATTATTTATCATTTATTTAATTTGTTTGTTCCTTAAACTAATATTTATAATAATTATTCATCTGCATATGTAAATTCGGAACTCGGAAATCTCACAATTAAAAATATATGTTCCCATAAAAAATATAAAATTTGTACGTTTGCCAATTATACAGAATTTTCTAACCTTCAAAAACAATGTAAACAATGAATTCGAATATTTTGCATTTAATATATTTCGGATTTATAGAATAGTACACAAATAAATATTAGACCATTCTGGAAAATTATCTGAAGAAAACGAAAAATAATATTTCAAATTGTATAAAATAATGTTACATCAATTTCAAAATAGGTTAAGTAAATGGAGGATTATTTTACCAGTGTCTATTTATTTATTTAATCTATTAAACTCTAACGAAGCTTACAACGTTACCTACTGTTTCATCTAACAATAATCAAAATATAATTCTGATAAAATGTAAGATTGTTTGTCCACCCGATTCATAAGGATCTTGATAAACATAATATTATTAAATATATACCAAATTCTAAAATGTCAATTATTTCCAAAACTTTCGAAGCTATTATGATTAAAAAATATTCTACATAACTGTTTCTTCCCTTATTTGTATAATCTAACATGACTTCAGACCTAAAATGTCAATTTCCATTAATATTCTACTTAATCAGCCCAAAACCCAAATTATCGCGTTCAGATCCAATTTACACCGAATTCCAGGAAGCTTCTAAAATGGTTTTTAAATTTTTTTTAAATTTTTCGCGAATAAATTATTTGAGTGAAAAAAAAAAAAGATTTTTAAAATTATTTATACGATGGTCTTCAAACGTAACTACGAGCACCACAACGATAATCCATTCGTTACCAAATGTACAACGCTGCTGATCCGTAAGTTCTAAAATCGGTGTATTGTACACGTTTGTATATATATATATACGTAGGAATCGATTGGCGCGGTCGACATTATATTACATTTGAATGTCGATCAATGATCGATTTATACGTTTTTCCTATCCCGTAATTTTTCTTTCTTCGCCCGCGGGATTTTCGGCGCAGTTGATACATGCCCATCGCGACGTGTTACCGTGCCCTAGACCTTAATGCGTCGAAACACGCGACCGCCGAACGCGCTCCGAGGGCAACACGATTGGAACCAAAGCGGAGCGGGACGATAAAGAAAACGCCGACCGACACGACGTATCACATTCATTTTATTGCATACACCAGTAGTTCCCAAAGTTTTTTTTCTACGGTGCCTTTTTTTGGACTCAATTTAGCCACGGTACCCTGCTGTGAATAACACGAAAGACAAAACAAAAAATAAATACTCATTGATGACCAATTTTATTAATTTCGTTAAAATTTTACTTGATTATAAATTAATGAATTTTCAAACTTAAAAAATAAATAAATAAAAATCATTGTTATTTTTACATAAAAATATTATAAGTTCAAAACGAGTATACAATGGAAAATATTTCATTGCTTGGTATTATGTTTTTACGAAAACAATGAGGAAAATAAATGCTATACATTTTAAACTATTTTTTATGAACCGTAGACTGCGGTGCACAATTTGGGAACCACTGGCATGCACTTTCATGATAGTCTTTTTAACCGTATTGTAGTGATCGCTGTACAGAACACGACAATCGGTTACCACATTTATTATTTGACGTCGCACGTTCGTTGTCTTGAGACGTATTGCGAGAGAGATAGGTATTTAAATAATAATCAAACACTTGCATTTTTAACACTTATGAAAGTTACAACCT